GGAATATGTTATTCCGGACGCAGATCTAAATGCAATAAATACATTATAAAATGTGTACTCTATTTTGCCTTGATCTTATGACTACACCAGGTCTACGGCAAGCATTGTTGGCCGCTGCGTCCACCGGAGGCACCGTTCTTTTTCCATTTGGTGCCACTGCTTTTGCCTTTACTGACAGTTGCTGCCGTCTCGGCACCAACCAGGCGCCTGGTTGCCAAGGGGGTCAAAGTCACTCGACTTGCGCGTCTAGAAGAAAAGCACAAGAACAGGAAAGACGTGGCCAAACAGGGGACTATACGGAAGAGAGTGCCGAGACAGAAGTATCGGAGAAGGATGGAGAAAATGTAGGTCAAGAAAATGTTGCTGATAGCGCAATGAGAGCAAGTGAGAAGATAAGAGTCTGTAGAAGTAAGAGTCCTCACGCTAAAGTGGTGAGGATGAAGGCGCCAATAGGTGCCGCGACCTGTAGATTACCCAACAAGACAAAAAGGCGTGGTCTGTTTACTCAGACTGGCGAAAAGAGAATCTCATCAGATTGCTTAGCCGTGGCAACCGCCAAAAAGAAGACCCCAATGGGGAATGGCTGTATCCTTGGAGTTGGAAATGGCCTTGCCGCTCCTTTGGTAGCAGGAGTATCCGGTGTCCGTCTGGGCCTTGCCAACTTTGACCAATCTCTTCGTTGTCCCAGAATGGAAACTCCTGAAAAGGAGGTAATTACTCCATTAATAGCAAACATCTGCAGGCCATTTTAACAGAACTTGATTTTAACCAAAGTTTTTAGCTAAGCGCTGAGGATAAAGAGTAATTTGAAAATAGCACTAAGTTTATTATATTATCTTAATCTCAACAGTAGTCTTGATTAATGTATAGCTTCACATGATAAGATAGATATTCTAATCAAATTTTAAATCTAGTGAAGAGATTGGCTCAGCAGTATCAGCTGAAAGTAGCAGAAAGAGCATCGATAGCTCTTCAGACTATGACAATACTGACGATTATGTTAGTGAAACTATTATAAATATATAACGATATTATGTTTTATCTAAACATATTCCAACATCCTTGTGATTAAAAATAACATAATTATAGTTATAATATGTGGCACCAGTAAATCTGTGTTAATCTACGCATAAGTTCATATAAGTTATTCATAATTATTTATATTCATGTTACGCTGATAATAATTGAAATAATTGGCATATTTGATTACACAATTATGGCAGATTTTCTGATGACTAGATTCCTTAAATGCCAGTTTTCCGATAATATTTAAGCAACATGAGTGTGCAGACATCATGCTTCAGTTAGCACTAAAAGTATGGGATGTGTCGTTGACAGAGTTGGGGGAATGCAGTTCTTTTAAAAGTAAGCTATTGAAAATTAGATAAAAGGCCTGCATTAATTTCCTTTAAAGAATGTCCATCAATGTATGACTGCCAAATTGAATTGGCCATTTCAGAACATATCTCTATAGGCTAGGATAGGGCATCGTACAGACTTGTTTTAAAGCATTTTATATCCGTTAACTTGTTTGATACTTCCTTTGTGTCTATTTTAATTATATATTCCTCAGTTGAAATGATGACGTGATTAATTGTTATAACAATTACTTATAAAACAATTTATTATTCCCGATTAATTATTCATTAAAAACTAATATTATGTTATTGCATGATATCAGTTTACCTAACCTTCAAAGTTCTCTAAAACACTTTGGGTCACATAAAGTTGTGATCCAGCCTAGCTAGTTGTTGATAGCCGAGCTTTTTGAATAGGAAACACCAAAGAATGCCCAGTGTATGTATAGGTATATGGTAACCTTATATGCATGATCAAAGAGGAGTTTGTTGAGCATCGCCTTGTTAATTTTAATCAAAAATTCTCCGTTATAAGGCAAACTTTACAGTTATTATAGTTGATATAGCTTAACTTTTACATTTTTTATTGCCATAGCAACATGTATGCTCTGCACTCGATCGCCTAGTTGCAACTTTTATTCATGTTATCCCACGAATTAGGGTGCTGAAAAATTAGAATTAAATTCGAGCAAAACAATATGCTCAGACTTATTCATTCAAGGGACTTATTCCTTCCATCCAATTGCCTCGTATATAGACAGATGTTAATAAAGGGTCAAAATAAATAAAAATACTGTGGTCCACCTATATTTGGTGAAAATTAGAATAAACACAAACGCATATTTCTCATTTAAATTTTGATAAGTAATCCTTAATCAGAAAACATCAAAATGTAAACAGACCAGACAAATATAGATGCCTAGTTTAGAAATGCTATAAAATAATCAAATAAAAATTATCAGCCTATTTTATTTCCCTCTCCTTTCCGCTACTCAGTTTTATTTCATGGATCTCATTTTTTGACAAAACTAGACGCTTAGGAAGCATGTCAACATAATTGAACTTCAAAGGTATTTGATGAGTGTGTCCAGAGTAATCCGAAATAGTTACCAACTTGTTTTGGATGGGATAAGATCTCCTATCTAACATTCTTAACTCTGCTTCTCAGTTCAAAAAAGTTACTTGATTGGGTTAGATTTGAAAGCGCTTTTACAATCTAAAAAAGCTGAAGATGGAATACGATTTTTGCCACTTCATTTATTGTCTTTATTCATAGGGTAGTAAGTGAATACTACTTTTAGCTTTCTCGGTGATCTAATTAGCCTCGAATGTGAGAACAAACATAACGGAGCTGAAAGGAGAAGGAAACTTTGTATGAACTTGTGAGGAGTTATTTGTGGTTTTAGAGTGGATCAGTTCACAAATTATAATATAAATACTTTTATATGGAATTAATACGTTATGCTGAGAAGTAAGCTGATTATTAAAAGCAAGGTAAAAACATTGCACCAACTACTGATTGGGAGGAGAGTGACATTTGCTTAAACCATTTTGAAAACTGTTTTCTTACTGCATTATTAGTGTTTAGTTACACTACTTTCGGTACTAGATGCATTTGACATATTTACTCATACCAGTTGGCATAACTAGTTCCTAATTTGTCTTATTGTTTTAAAAGATTTTCCTAAAACGAGCTACTGCTTCAAGTTGATAAATTAAATCTTTATCAAGAAAAGTTTTATGGTGACCTATTCCCCCATCTTTTAGAAATAGTTAATCGAATTAAATCAACATTTGATGAACTTCTACTTTAACTAAAATTTGTCAAAATAAATATACAAGGATCAAGCCAGATATTTGTGAGAACAGTTCAACGTTAATTGGCTTGGAATTAGTTATTCATAAATAAGTATATTTACCAATTTAGATGATATGATTACATTACATCTAGTGGAAATGACTGGAAATTTATCTAGTGACATAAAGTCTAAATCAAAGCAAGGCTGAATCAACCCCACTAGCTCAAAGGAAGACTTTGCATTGAAAGGGTATATTTCATCAGAACTTTCTCTAGAATAGAATAACCTTTTTAATTTGTGCCTATTTGGCAGCAGCAAAGATTATAGTACCCCAGTGTGGCAATGCCTAATCTAAAAGCTTTGCTAAGCAGAAAGAAGCCAATAACAGCCTTTAGCAAGCGACACATTTAATGCTGACTCTTGTTAAATTATTACTAATCTCGAGAATAATTTTGCTATAGAAAGGCAATTGTGTCAATATGCAGACTAGGGAGATGAAAACGTTGATAGGAAAAGGCTCTGAAAGTTCTTAGTTACTCCAACCTTGGATTAGACGACATCATGTGAGCCTTGAATCGTTCTGGAATTGTGAAAGTGAGGCTCTAGCCTTTATAGCACTATCCAAGTTTATTTGTGTCTCATCTGTGTGTGAATTCTAGACCTATGGTCAATCAACCAGGGAACACATCATAAAATGATTTAGGATAGGCGTGGTTTGCTTATGCTAATCACGTCCGTGGTAGAAAGTCTTCCAATGACCGTAAAAACGGAAGTCTCCTTATTTGGTAATTTAGGGCTCTTTTTTATGTGCTAATGTCCTCACTTATCTATCCCATTCATATGATATGGCATCAAATGTATTTGTCCTTTTAGATAAGGGATGAGATATAAAGATTAAATATTAAGGCTTGAAGTTATGTTGCTATTGAAATTCAAAAAGATGGGTAATAGCAGATACTTTTATAGACGGTCAGGACAAGCATTATTGCAAATAGCATCATCCGGAGCCCTAAACGTTAGAAAAGATTGCCTAAACCCTTGCCTTACAATTACTTATTTCATCTGATCACTTATGAAGTTGAGTGAAGCCAACTTCGAGACCCCGCATGGCTTTGATATGCCAGGAATATTAGGAAATATCTGCAATTAGATCAGGTAGAACTTCAAACGTGGACTATAAAAATGGAAAAAACACTTAGAATGTATCAAAGAGACCTCTGATGCACCCGTTCCAAAATATAATTTTTATTTTGATAAATAAAGTACATTCTTATTGATAAACAAATAAATTACTTTCAAAACCATAAATTTAAGAAATTATCTTTACAACTTCGGAAAAAAGTGTTTATCATGCAGACTAACTGTCTAAATAACACTTTGTCATTTGACAGAATGAAACTCCTTTCCTGTTGCTACATTTGAGTTTCCCTTCAAAGTTCATCGCATAATTTATCATTCCCTCCTTTCTGGAGAACACTATTTTTCAAGCTTAGCTGCCAAATTTGTATCTTTTCTGCTTTAATTAGATGATAAAAGCAAATATTTAACAGATTTAGCAGATTGAAATACTCTATTTTTCAACCAAACTTGGCATACCTCCTGCAACTTCCTAAACTACTACGTATTCACTGCTGGCCCTGGCAACAAAAAAGAGCCGGCACAAATATAAGAATAAGTTATGATTGATTTGATCATTACATCGAGATTAGAACTGAAGTGCACTTTCAGTGCCTTGCAATTTATAGATCTGATGGTCCGACTAAAAATGAAATAAATAAAAATAAATGCTTTTTCATTCAAACAGAACTGCATTTCAGACCCCACCTGGGTAGCATGATCAGAGGGAAGTATATATTTTAGACTCAGTTAATTTAGGCATGAATGAATGTTCATTATTAATATACCATATAGCCATGAAGCGAAATAACTTCTAGGGATAGTGGCTCTAGAGGTAGGGTCTACTATTTTAGAAGAATACGACTGAGAGGCAAATAGCAGATGGATCTGATCGTTACTTCATTAATTCAAAGGATCAGCAAAAGACTTTTATAATAATTGTTTGTAACAAATAAAGGGCCATTAATCATGATTTGCCCTAAAGATTAACTAGTGATTACATTTTATCCTGCCACTTACGAGAAATTT